GTTTTTCTCTGTATCTATGAAGCGCCTTGAGGCGTCTGTTGTTGCGATTTGGCGCTATATAAATAAAATTGAATTGAATTAATTAGTCCCAGCTGTGTTCCCTCCTGTTTCTCACTCCCTTGTTACCGTCTGTGCATTTAAGCCCTCTGTGTTCTTCTGCTTGTTACTGGTCTGTCTGTGTAGTAATCTGCCTGTCATTCCTCGTGTTCTGTCTGCGTTTCTGGTAGGGCTGGGTATCATCACTGATTTAAGATAAAAGATAAGATAAAACTTTATTAATCCCTCGGATGGGTTCCTCTGGGAAATTCCGTAGAAATTCGATTTCTAGAATCGATTCTATTCCGATTCACAAGGTCCCAACTTGTATTATTTGGGAAAATTTTGCCTCAGTCAGAAATATTATAATTCTGATCACGTATCTATGGGGCACCGTTTGTAAAGTGAAACATGCTGAAATTAACGGCAACATTTTTCCACATTTAACTCAAAACAAGTCATTTTTTTACAACATTTAGTACAATATTTGTAACTTTTCATAGTTAAAACACAATTTTAAATGTTAAATCTAAATGTTACGGGAAACAAAATATTATACAATTAATACACTGCCGCAGCCGTGACAGAGAGATAATACCTTTTGTTTGGCCTGGTAACAGATGGATAGATGGATGGAAAGGCAAAAAAATCCTCTGCATTTTATTAACACTGACTCTTAGTTTGGTATGCTGATCTACATTTTTGTTGATTCTCTTTTTCAGACTTTGTCTCTACTGAAGACCTAAAAGTAGTCAAGAATGCTGGAGAGACTGTGACTTCACACACTAATGAAACATGGCATCAAAGTAAGAATTATCTTTGGTACTATGGGGACCGTTCCCCTAAATACCAGTTACATGGTAACCAATGAACAATCCACTCGTGTCAATGGAATAGAGTTGGCAAAAGTACAGATACTCTGTACTTAGGCAGAAGTACAAATACTACTACTATAAAATACTCCATTAAAAGTTGAAGTACTGCTTCAACTTCTTTACTCAAGTAAAGGTAAAAAAAAAGTCCAGGTTCTGAAATCTACTCAAAGTAAGAAAGTAAAAGTAGCTCTTGCAGGATGTTTCTATTTTTGTGCAACGCTAGCTGAACCTTAATGATATCTAATTAAGGTTGAAT